CCAGTTATGACAGCAGTGATTGCATCATGCTCACAATTCATGTCGCTTTATGCAAATTCAATTTTATGAGCTCTGCCAAAAAAAAATAGGAGAGAGGGGGAAAAAAATAATAGTTTAAACCTTGGAGTGGCTCCACCTGTCATTCTACTCTATGAGTGTGTGTGTGTCACTGAGTGAGTGTGACACTGGAGACGTGAATGTGATGTTGTCAACAGTGGGTTTGATTTTTCCTGCTTCTCATAGTGAGAGCATCTTGCTACATGGATATGAGCTTTACCTTTAAAGATGCTCGTTTTCTGTAAAATATGACCTTTAAATAAAAGCCAACCATTACATCTGGTGCCCAACCAAAGAAACGGATTAGTAGTTCTGACAAAGAAGAACTGCTCGTGTTGGACTTGTTGAGAGTTGATATGGTGCCTTCTTAAGGGAGTTTTGAGGATGATTTTGACCATGCCTAGTTTTCACCTAAGGCTGCATGTGATGCAGCACACATTTGACTTGTGGCTGTCCCAGCTGGAGTTATTCAGGAAAGGCTTGTCCTGGCATCAGAGGTCTTGCCTCCTCTTGTCCGTGCTTTTACTGACTTTCCAGGAATGGTGTCTTACAGTGTTAAAGACTGTGGTCTTTGGTGGCCAAACAATGGAACAGAAAAACAAAGCAAACCCTCCTCTTCTTCTTCCTTCAGGGTCTTGGTGAGATTTTCTCAGAACTCCCTTGCACATGGCCATGTCTCAGTTTTGAAAATTAAGCCATTACTCCTGAGGTAAAGAAAGCATACCCATTGCCATTGAGTCAATTCTGACTCAGAGAGACCCTATAGGACAGAGTAGAAATGCCCCATAGGGTTTCCAAGGAGTGGCTGGTGGATTTGAACTGCCAACCTTTTGGTTAGCAGCCGAGCTCTTAACCACTGTGCCACCAGGGCCCCAGAGAAAGCATAGTGTTTATGATATAGACACGTCAGTGTCTATACCTTAGAAGAAAAATAAAATAATAAAAGGGAAACTTTATTTATATTTAATATTTTAACTAAAAATTATTGAAAATTTACTAATGTTGACTTTTTTACTGTAATAATCTCCTTTGATCCTCATAATAACCCTTTCAGGTTTAGGTATTATTATCCCATTTTATATGAGAAAACTGAGGCTCAGAAAGTATGAATAACTTGGTTAAGGCCACTAAGTTAAGTAAGTGACAGAATCTCAGTTTGAATCTATGATTTTCTTTTTAGCTTGGGCTCCTTAAAAATATGAGTAAGATACAGTACTTACCCTCAAGGAATTTTGGATCCCATTGGAGGATAAGAAAAGTGTACAAGTATTATAATTCAAATCAAAATATAAAAACTCTTCTGAGGAGGCTTAACTTTATTAAAGTTGAAAGGTAGGTGACATGTTGTCTAGATGAAGATGGTCAAGGAAAGTTCCCTTCCTATATGGGTCTTCCAGAAAGCTGAAACTTCAAGGCAGCAGCATCTGTACTGGATGATTATAACCTCATGGAGGTTATTTTTTAAGTAAAGGATTTTCTAATTAAGGATATCCCGGGTGGTGCAAACGGTTCACACACTTAGCTGCTCAGCGAAAGGTTGGAGGCTCAAGTCCACTCAGCAGTGTCTCAGAAAAAAGACCTGGTCATCTGCTTCAGAAAGATCAGCCATTGAAAACCCTCTGGAGCACAGTTCTACCCTGACACACCTGGAGTCCCCATGAGTCAGAATTGACTAGAGAACAATTGGTTTGGTCACGAAGTCATTCACACTCTTACATTGTTATGGTCGTATGACATCTGGTGAGAAGGTAGCCTTGGGGATATTATCACTGAATTCTGCCACTTGCAATTTATAATCAACCAGTCAGAGAAAGCAAAGGAATTAACCAACAGAATATGAACGATATGTAAATAACTTGAATTAATTTAAATGGAATCATATTGACAAATTGAAAAAAAAATCAATTGCTATAGAAAACAAGGAGGCTAAATGACCCACATTCAGGAAAATTCCTTTGTGAGCAGGAAAATGATCTAGTCTAAAAATAAAAAGGGCTGTGCAATCACAATATTTCCTACTTCACTTTACATGTTAACTGAACTGTGCATGGTAGTTAGTGGAAATCATTTCATTCTTTAAAAAATGTTAATAAATAATAAAGCAAATGAGGACATTGGGAAGTCTCTTGTTATCTAGAGTATTTTTATAGTCAGAATAATTTCTTTAGCAATAGTCGATTGATATTTACTTGGTCCACAAAGACTAAGCTTTTGGGAAAAATCAGAGCAATATTTATCTGTTGTCTCAACTCCTAAAGATGTTTTGTACAAAGTTCTTTCATGTCTCTCTGTATGGTCCTGAAGTGATTTTGATCTGTCACGGATAGTTCTTTAGATCTGTCACGGATAGTTCTTTAGATCTGTCCCTGATGCAGCCTGGCTCCTGGAACGTATTGACCTGGGATTTATCTATCCTCTAGTTAAGTGGCTCTAAACATTCACTGTGCATGCGAATTGCCTGGGGTGGGGACGTTCTTGCTGTAACTGCAGATTCCTGGGCCACCCTCAGAGATTCTGGAGTGGGAATCTCATCATCTGCATTTTAAATTAACAATTGCCTCCCCTCTCCTCATGCTGACGGCCTCTGAGAAATTCAGCCCTAGACTCTGCTCTCTCTACAGTTGCAGCCTAGTTGACACTATGTCACATTGTGACCAACTTGGCAAGTAAGTTAGAGAGCCTCTGCATTACTTTTATTCTGTTTGTAATATACTCAAAAGCATGTCGCCTTTTTTCCCATAGTGCCAGGAAAATATAAGCATAGTGTCTCTACACCTTTAGTAAAGCAAGGAGCTATAAAAACCATCATCAATTCAAGGTGAGGATTTTAGTATTTCTAATCTCTTTGGAAATTTTGCAAATTAAGGACCCTTTAGTAGCAGAGCTGGAAGAAAGATAATACCTCCTGGTCCAGCACTTTGATTTCAGTTTAGTGACTGTCCGCATTTCCGGAGGTCCCTTCCTTTGGCCTACAGACATCTTGGAGGTGGATCTATGCACACCTCAAACATTGCCTGTAGCCTCAGGGAGCAATGAGTTTTCTTGACTCATAACTACTGCTCTTCTTTCAAGTGTTAAGAAGAGACTGTTATGATGAATAAAATGCAAATATATTTAAATACTTTCAAGAGTCCTTGTAGCATTTTTGTCAAGATATATGTTTTTACCTAGTGAATACTAAAAATACTACAGCTGTCATGGAAAAGTTCTTCATCTATAGGTTGAGCTAATAGTATAATTCATTCATTCAGCAAATACCTGTCTATGATGAGCCAGATACTGTTCTAGACCCTAAAACTGAGAATGAGTGGAAACACCCATCCACAAGAGTTTTGTGCATTTTCTTATTAAAGAACCACATGGATTAAAACTCTTTTACTTGATATAAGGGTTGGGAATAATTTGTTCTTACATTTGTACCCTGCTGATTTAAAAAAAAAAAAAAAGCCCTGGTGGCGCAGTGGTTAAGAGCTTGGCTGCGAACCGAAAGGTCGGCAGTTCGAATCCATCAGCCACTCCTTGGAAACCCTCTGGGGGCAGTTCTACTCTGTCCTGTAGGGTTGCTGTGAGTTGGAATCGACTCCACGGGAATGGGTTTGGCTTTTTTTTTTTTTTTTAATTAAAAAACTTGTAATAATTTCTCAAATAAGTCTACAAAGTAGAAAATGTATTGATATTTATTTTCACTTAGTTGCAATGCTTGCAACTGTAATTCTGATTGTATTTCGTTCTAGTTGTATGTCATTTATGTAGCAAATCATATAAAAAGACAGTTGTGATTTATGTAATTCTGATTTTGGTTTGCATTTGCAATTAAGTGGGTTTTCCCCTTTATCGCTTTCTCTCTGCTCCCCTCACCCCACCCCTGCCCAGTCAGACAGGATTAGCTGTCACAGAGTAGGGTAGACATGTATTTCCTTACACAGTGTGGCATAGCAGTGCCAACATTTTGGGAAATAATTGAAGTAAAGAGATGAATGTTAATTAAGACACGTATCATCATGTTCCAAATCTACAGAATCAAATGGATCCTCATATTGTTTCTACTCTATTTTACTTGGCTGTCAGGTGACCTCAAAAACATAATACTTCTTACTGTATCACCACCATGAAAAGAAATGCCAAAAAGATGTTCCTCTGTGAGACTTGGAATATACTTTTTCTCCCACAGATCTTGGCTGCTGTGCTCGAGCTTATTTGGGGCATGTGTATGTGTGTGTCTATAGGGAGCAGGGAAGTCCGTTTGATCACAATTTGTGGGGAGGCGGTAATAGGCCTCTACTGAATGCTGATTACCCAGAGTTGTTCAGGGAGACCGGGCAAGAGCTGATGGTTTGTGGTAAGTTACTCACTAGCTCTATTGAGATGGGCATAAAGTTTAGATCAGAGCTATAAAGGCACCCGAATCTTTTTGATTGTCGGCCAAACTTGGTGACACATTAAGAAAAATGCCCCAGTTGTGCTAAACAATAGTGGATGACTGCAGAAATCTAATGAGTTGAATATAATTTTGTATAAGAGTTAAAGCTCCCACCACTCTAGGGTTAAAAAGATGCGGAGACTGATGGATTGTTAAATAAATTACCAGAGCTGTTTTGGCTCTTAGATCCGAAAAGCTGCCCAAATTGTCAATGGCATGAAAGAACAGATTGCTTTGGAAAGAGCCCTACCCTGAGGATGATGGCCTTTATTTGCCAGTGTATCACGCTTTCTGCCTGTCCACACACATAAACCTCAACCTTTATCTAATACTGCACAGGATGGCTTTTCTGGGAAATGATACTCCAGCTCCAGAGCAAAACAAGCGCCTGCATTTGGAGGCTTTTCTCGAATCACAGGCGGCTTTTCTTTCAATTCCCAGTTACCTTCCTTCTTCATTTCCGTTTCCAGCAACAAGGAGAGGGGAGTTAATGATTCATTTGCTCCCAATGACCTTTTGAATAACTGGACTGTGATGTATCAGCCCGATGCTTAGCACCCTCTCTCTCCTTCTACTTCCCTAGTTTGGCTTTAATATTTACAGCCTCCTTCTCCAGCTACATGCCTGAACGCCTGAAGGAAGCAAAACATTTATTGCCTCTCCCTCCCTGGTGTTCGCGGTGTTCTCGAGTTATTTCATCCAGCCTCATTCCTTTTACATCACACGGGGAGATTTGCCTCCTGGCTGGGACGCCTGGACTTCTTCCTGAGTGGCTGCTGTTTCATCTGTTGATTTCACCAAAACACAAACATGGATTCTGACTCGGACTCACCTTTTAACTACTCCTGGCCTTCCTTTCCCAAAGTGAAGATTCGACGAAGGGCCTCGAAACAAGGTAGATCACAGTACCTTTCTTTCCCGCAGAGGAGACAAGCCAGACATCTTCGTATTCTTACCTTTCTTTTCCTTGTTTCTTTGCCACTGTTGTCTGATGAAGTACATGCTTATGCATGTCTTTATAAAACTCTCTATACTTTGTGTATAGACTTCAGAGGTGAACCTACTCATTCACTTTATTTTCCTTTCACTTTGAATCTAACTTTGTGTTATATTATGCACACGCAAGTCTCTTAAAAAATGGAAGTTTAGTATAAGGTAAATGTTTTGAGTTCACTTAATCAGAGTTACCTTGGAGTTTCCTTGACAATAAAGAGTCTTGTTGATTTAAACCTGTCCAGTGTGTGTGGGATTTGCAGGGCAGTACCCATGGATTCAATACCTAGTTTCTGCTTCTTTTTTGTTTTAGTTTTCAAGTATGGCTTAATTTTTAAAAAATGTTTTGTATCTAATTGTTGTTTCTGTTTTATACTATTTTACTGATTTTATAGGTGTTATAAGGAACAGATTTAAAAAAAAAATATTTTCACAAGAAAGGCTGTATATCTCCAGGGGATACAATCATATATTAGAAAAGTTTATTAACAGTAATTATCATGTGTAAAGGGTCAACAAAAAAGAGGAAGAGCCTCAAAGAGATGGATTGACACAATGGCTGCAACAATGGGCTCAAACATAGCAACGATTGTGAGGATGGCAGTGCTTCTTTCTGTTGTACAGAGGGTAGCTATGAGTTGGAATCGACTCAATGGCACCTAACAACAACAACAATTACTATGTATGCAAAATCCTTCACTGGGAAAGAAAGAAGAACCGTTTAGCTACAACGCCCTGGTGGCACAGTGGTTAAGAGCTACGGTGAGCTACAGCTGCTAACCAAAAGGTCAGCAGTTTGAATTCACCAACTGCCTCTTGGAAACCCTATGAGGCAGTTCTACTTTGTCCTATAGGGTCACTATGAGTCGGAATCGACTTGATATTAACAGATTTGTTTGTTTTTTTTTAAATTAATCATGGAGTGCATTTACATCACTTATTTCCCCTTACGTGTACTCCACTCTTGTAGTGCAGGCCTTGGAAACCAAGGAGCAAGTTAGTCTTATGAGTGCAGCTGAGGTGCCTCGAGTAATAGAGCTGCATCATTCACAGTGAGGCTTAGCAGGTGGTGACTGTTGTCTTCTGAGGTTTTTTTTTACAGTATGATTTGTTTTTATTTTTTTTCTTCTTGGTTGTAATTTTTTTTTTTTTAATTGTACTTCAGGTGAAGGTTTACAGAACAAATAGTTTCTCATTAAACAGGCAGTACACATATTGTTTTATGACCTTGGTTAACAACCCTACGACATGGCACCTCTCTCCCTTCTTGACCTTTTTTTTTTTGGTGAAAATGTACATAGCCAAAGATACACCATTTCAAAAATTTCTGCATGCACAGTTCAGTGACATCAATTATGTTCTTCCAGTTGTGCTACTATTCTCACTTTAGATGAAGGTTTACAGAACAAAATAGTTTCTCATTAAACAGTTAGTACACATGTTGCCCTATGACAATGGTTAA